GGAAACTGTAATTAGAACAAGAAGAAAATTCAAAATATCGTGGGAATCAGTTCTAGATTTTTAAAATATTTAAATGTGATAAACACCCAAAGGTACCTTCAAATTTAATACTTTCTCTTTGGGCATAAAATAAAAGACCAATATCTTGTTTTTCTTTTAACATGTAAAGGCATCTAGAAACAGATAAAACTTGTGAGATTTCTTAAATTGCTTATTATACATTTATTGTGTACAACTGATTATGGAAACTAGGTAGCCAACATTGTACCAGCATTTTCCTCTTACTTAGCAGGGATATTTCTTACCTATTTCAATAAATAAAGAATTTTTATGACATAACCTCCACAAAATATTTCTGGAGTCTGTCCTAAAAGTATGGTGTAACACTTCCACAGAATAATTAAGATGACTGATCTACAAACATCTATGGTCACTAGGCAAATAATGACAAATACTATACTTCTAAAGCCCTCACACTCTTATTATTTATCCCTCCCTCCTTCCCTCCCTCTCTCTCTCCCTCCCCCCCTCTCTCTCTCTGTCTCTCTCTCTCCTGCTCTCATATGTGCACACACATACTCACTCAAAGGCAAACACACACATGGATACAATATGAAGCCTTTTGGCAACCAAGCAAGAGACTGTTCTGTTGTCGATTATACATATTAAGATAAAAAACAATTTATCACAAAAAAGATTGCTGAGGGGCTACAGATTTAGCTCAGTGGCACAGCACCTGCCTGGCAAGCACAAGGTTGTGAGTTCGATTCCTGGTACCAGAAGAAAATCAAAAAACAAACAAGCAAACAAAAAAAGATTGATAAGCATTAAGATGAGAGGGAACCCAAGGTTTGTAGCATTGATTTCATGATTTTAAATGCAGCTTCAGCTTCTTAGTGTATGCGGACTTGTGGGAAAGTATCTCAGACTGCAGAGGAACATGGGGAAAACAGGTGCAATCAAGGTCATATACTTGAATGACAAATCTGCTCATTTTACTAGACATATTTTGCATTGAGGAGAATTATTTAGTTTAAGGATTAACAAAATTACTTCCAGTTTGCAATGAGGAATATTTTATAACTCTTTGGCTTATTTTCCATAGAGTATTTAAAGATTACAAGATAGCTATTTGGTCAGTAATAACAATTAATAAAAAATTAATTTAAAAGTAGGAAGCAACAAAAAAGTCTTGAAAGATATATTATTTCATTGCATTGAATTTGTGGTTTTTGGGCTGAGGATGCAGCTCAGCTGTGAAGCACTCACCCAGCATTCATGAGGCCAATGGTTCAATTTCCAGCAAGGCAACAGTGACAACATCATAAAAGAATAGTTGTAAGGATTTTTGATATATTAAAATAAATTGACAGATTTTAGATTTTATTACATGATTCATTTACAACTTTCTTGAAAGTCCTTGTGTCTAATTTTAAATGGGTGTATAACTAACCACAGAAGAGTCAACTTAGAACTATCTTTAGATCGAAGCTCCAGTAAAAGTTTAGAACATTAGCTTGACAGAGCTTGTAGAAGAGTAAATAAAGGATCCAGTGGTGCTGAATGGGCCAGGGTCACCTTCACTTCACCATGAGTATTCTGTGAAGTGTAACATATGGTGTAGCTCACTAGGACACACAGATAGGCATTTGTGTGCAAAGCACTGGAATCCCATGATAGAAAACACTTGATATCTAAAGTTCAAGTTTAAGTCTTAAAGAGGAAAAAAGAGAAAAAAAGATTACTCATCAAAGGAAAAGAAAATATTTGCCTTGGCCACTTACAGTCATCTTAATTTATGGACAAGCGCCTCTGGCTGATGATAAATAATTTGTTTGCTTTAAACTGTCACACCTCTTGTCTTTGCCCTATGTTTATGACCCATTGAACTGTTTTACATTATTTTTTATTTCTGAGATTTTTTAAAATAACTTTTCAAGCTGTATCAAGACGCTATAAAACAGTGTTGGTACTCTTAATATTTCACTCTCTTCCCTCCAAGAAAATGACCAACTTCTTGCAAAGTTGGTGTTAAATGAATATTTTTGTATTTATTTTTCTAGAATCAATTATAGCCTAATACAAACAATAGAAGCTCATTAAACATTTTTAATTAGAATTACAAATATAACACATAGAAAATTTTTCTGTAGTATACATGATTATGCAAAAATGTTCCACAGATAAAATTAGGGGCACACAAATCAGTTCCAACTACAGGACTTTATGTAGAGAAGTGATGTACTTTAAATCTAGTGTAGCTCTTGGCTGGCTTCCCACAGGTCTGTAGTAGACCACAGGTCTTTATACATCCACTGTTTTCTTCCTTATGCTAACTTTCCCTGTGTTGAGTACCAGTAGTAGCCTACCTTGTACATAGCTATTAAATGAAGGTGTTAAAGATCTCCTGGACCCATGAGGTTGTAATACTGAGTCAATGAGATAGATAAATGGATAAGAGCTAGATGAACACATCAATGAGATTTCAGAGCTTTGGGTGGGGAAATGTTGTCTATATGTACTTAACTTTTGCAGTGAGCTGAGCTTTCCAATGAACTCTCTACAAAGTTCAGATGGCAAGTTCCCTACTCTTAAAGCTTCAGGACAGAACTAATTCATGAAACTTAGATGTTAATTAGGAAATATCACAGGTAAGAAAATTTCATCAGGTAAGAAAAATTTAACTGACCTGAACATAAGGGAGAGAGGCCAAAATAAGCACATTACCTTAAATCTACCCTCAACTATTGATCTCTGAGATAAATTTATTGAATTCAAATTCTATATTCTCTAGCCTTATCGTTAAATAATTCCAACCACTATAAACAAAACTGTTTTTAACTCTGCCAACAAACAAAATAACAACAAAGAACAGCAACTTGGCTATTTCAGAGTCTCAGTAAAACATTGCACTGTACAAAGATACAGTATCCAAAAAGCATGAAAGAAAGAGAGTGGGGGGAGAGAGAGAAAGGAAGAAAGAAATGCATGATAGGCAGAAGATAAAAAGGGAGGAACAAAGGAAGGAATGAACGAAAGAAGGAGTATTTTGATAGTAAGTATTGTCTCGAGAAATAACTATTCCAACCCTAGCTGCCAGAGTGATAAGGAGAAAAAAAATCTCAGCAGCAAGAGCAAACACGGAACTTGAGGCAAACTTTGCCTTCTAGCATTCAGGAGGTAGAAAAATTTTCTCTGATACAGAGTAAGAGGGTTCTTAACAACCCCAAACACAGATAATCTGGAAGCCAAATTTGAGTCTAGGAAAAGAGGGCAAAGTGTGTGTCATCATTTATCCACCATCTTTTTGCTTAGTTCTTTGGATACTGGCCCTGTATCTTTCATCAGTATTCTATGCTTTCAAATGTTCAATCTTTAAAGTGTACCAGGCAAGGTCAGTGACTTGCAGCTACCGAGAATATGTGGGCAGAAGGAACAATACCATGTGTTCATTCTGAAATAATTTTCTGTAATATGTCACATATCTTATTGTTTTGTACTTCCACTTTTTGAAAACCGTTATCTTCCAAACCAATTTCAGGTAGTTATTGACAGTGGGAGAGACAGCGTACTTTCTGAGAATACAGATTTGCTCTTTTCAATGTTTAGTACCTCTACAGAGCAATGGAGAATACTTCACTTTATTCTAAGTTTAATGTTTCTCTTTCCACTTGTCTACTCTGTCACATCAAAAAGAACTGCTAACTGCACATTATCAGAAAGAAAATAAAAATTTATATGTTACCAAAATGTGCACTATAGAGGTAAAATTCTAAAGATTTCAACAGCACAATTATCTATCTCTCTGGTATTGAAATACCCTTGGAACCATCCAAAATATTAATGTTATGCTTATGTTCTTCATATTTTCTAGTCATTTGCTCAATCAGCATTCATCAAGAAAGGAGGGAATGGGGAATAGTCTAATAGTTAGATTATTTTAACTCAAGTCACTGGAGAATGGTAATTTGGACAGCTTCTGGCTTCAGTGGAGCTCCGTGCACTGTTAAGTTTCTCTCCTCATATGTAAAAGCAGATGATCTCATTTTCTTAAGTGATAAATGGATTCTGTGCAGTATAGCTCATTTGTGGTGAACTTTACAAATGACTCACACCATATATGACTTGTGTAATTACATTTACATTTGCTTGTCATATTTACTCTAAAATGTCACTGAGTACTTTTAAAGTAGCTCTATATAGCACACCAAAGATGAGAAAACTGAAGCTATTCATTTCAGATTAATTCCAGCCCTGATTAGTTCCATAAGAAAAATAAATCAAATTTATTTGCTAGGGTTCACGGGAGTATTTTTTCTCCCTCTATCTCTGTCCCTTTCTCTCTTTCTCATTCTGACTCATTCTCTCTCTCTCTCTTTCTCTCTCTCTCTCTTCCTTCCTCTCTCCCTCTTTCTTTCCCTCCTCACTCTCAAAAGAATGACTTCCTCAAAGTCACACTGAAAGCTAGTTATCATGTTGGAAAGATGTGGTATCTTACTTCAAAAGTTCCCGTGGCATAGTGAAAAGAACACCAACCTTATAATTAGAAGCCTCATTTCAAAGCCACATTTTCTTCCTGTCTAGCACCTCTTTATCCTTGGGTACCTTTAATCAGCAATGTCAGCGGAGATGGCTTTCAGTGTCTTCAAGATTCCTTTTATTTTTTTTCCTCAACAGTTCACATAAAGACCAAAAGATTAAATTTATCTGATCTATAAATTTATCTGTTAAATTTATACAAAAATTTGCTTAAAACCAATTATAATTTTAGAATGACATCTTTGCGTGTAACATTGTATATAACAGCTGGAAAGAGCTTAAAAATTACACATGTATATCTGTGCATGCTTGACTGACACTCCAAAACTGTGCTTTTCATTCATCAAACATCTTATTATTACTTATAGCTAAGGTCAATAGAAATTAATATACAGTCGGAGAGGGACGAGGCCCTCAAGGAAGTCAGCACAAAAAATAAAGACATCAGAATTGATGCTAGAGAGCCATTAGAAGAGAGTCAAGCCTCAGGATGAAGAAGCAAGAGCAAGACCTGCATCCCTGCCGAGAGACAAAGAGGAATTTGAAGTTATACTGTAATTAGCACCATCTGGTCCTATGGGCCCAGATAGGCCTCAAATGCACAAATGTGAGTGACCAGAACATCTAGATCAATAATCTCCTCTTTTCCCAAGAATTCCTTTGATCTTTCCATGTATTCTTGGTATGTGGCTCATTTCCCCATTGGGTCAATATTAGCTAAGGAGCTATACTTGTAATCCTATAGCTTGATTGTAGTCTGATCCATATTGGAGCCATGTTGTGGCTTTGCTGTATAAATTACCCTTGACTAGGAGCCTTAGTGCTCACTCTTTGTAGTATCCCTCCCATCTCCCAAGAGCTTTCTCTTAACAAGCCTTTCCTACTCTTAAAATTCTTTGTTCCTTAGAGTTCATTCTTAGATATTCAAGGAACAGGAACTTGGCACATCTGACATCTAGCAGATTGGGAATTATAGAGGAGAAACTAAAACTGCCTGAATTTAATGGTGATGGAGAACAAATATCACTTGAAAAAATGTATTTTTTAAAACTGATATTTCCCAAAAGGTATATGGAATGAATTGGCATCATCCTCATCATCATCATATTCTAAATTCTAGGGCATCTCTAGAGAGAGTCAAATAGGGCATTTTATAAAGGGAAGGACAAAGACATGTGTGGGAGATATAGGTATCCTATCCATAACATCTTACCTTACCCAATTTCAGAGGGTAGATTAGAATATAATACATGTCCTATGGACTTTGTTGGTTTCTGGCTTATCAGCATTTTGCAAGTATTGGATTTTCCCATTGTGACCACCTTCATAAGCTTGATATTTCAGTACCTTTGAGTACTTTTTAGAGGACCTAGTGGAAAATCATATATAGTATTCCCATTCTTGGTTGGTCCATAACAATAAGATTTCACTTGCATAAATAATTCACTGTAGTAATACTATGCAATGTTGACTTTGGAAGCCCAAACCAAGCATAGGATAATGCACAGTTTTACAGATTATTGCTACCTGAAAAAACCAAGGCTTTATTCATTATCAAATTTTAAGAACTTCAAGTTAGAAGAAACTGTAAACATTTTAAATTGAACAAACTCCTGTATTCACCCTATTTATAGGTATTAAACTCACTGTACATTAGTAAAGAAGTTCCTTTCATCTTTGGACCAATCTTATTATTATAGGGTTTGAAGACTCTTTCCAGAGACTTACTACATATTCATTCTATCAGAGGCTAGGAAAAAAACTACCTTTTTACCATGATGATTCTGAAAATATTTAATAATTTCTTAGCTTTATTGTTGTTTTTATACAAGTTAAACACTATTTCTTCAATCAAATTAATGTATATTGTTCTTTATGCATCATTTTAGCTATTATCATAATGAAAGTTTTCCAGTTTGTATGCATTCTTTTTCCATGGTGGTTCTCAAAAGAATATGTTACAGTTGAAATGACGTTTGATCATTATAATACTATGGAACAACTTGCTCTCTTATATTGTGCCATATATTATAATTTTATTAACTTTGCACATATTTCTTTACATATTAGATTGTTCTCTTTCTATGGATATGATTATAGAGTGTAGTAAAACTGTTGAGTCTATTTTTATACTTACATTATGGAAAATTTTAATATATACCAAAGTAGAGGGATATAGCGACCTCTCACATATTGATCATTCAATTTAAATAGTTTTTAACTTATAGATATCTAAGCCTCTTATAAAATACAAAGTTGGTTATATATCATTATCTGTATGGTGACAATGCAGAACACAAGGTTTTATTTGGGATTTACTAAGCCAGGAGTTACACTAATAAGTTTAAGCACATGGCTATGTGAGGGGGAAAACTGGTGCCTGAGTGGAAAATGTACAGTGGCTATAAAATAAAAACTGGATTGTAAGGACCTCGGAAGACAAGCTACCTCTCCACTTAGAGATGTTAATATGTCAAACCCTAGTCCCTGTGCCTATGCCGGGTTACATGGAAACAGAAAATTAACTTTGTAGATGGAATTAAGTGTGTTAACCACTGGACCCTTAATAGGAATATAATCCTGGATTATTGGGGTGTGCCTGATATAATAGTAATTACACACCTGGAAGGGAGCAATAGGAAAGTTAGAGGATGATGTGACTATGGAAGAAAGACATGGAAACATCACATACCTTGTTTGGAGATGGGGTGAAGCAATCAACCAAGGACTGTGGACAGCCAGTACAAGCTAGAAAAGCTGACAAAACAGACTCACCCCCGAGGTCTCCAGAGGAAATACAGACTTGTTCCCACTTTGTTTTTAGTCCACAAAGATTTGTGTTAGACTTGAAGCCTACAGAACTGTAAAGTAATAAATTTTTGTTGCTTTAAGCCAGCACATCTCTTACTTTGTTACAATAGTTGTAAAAAAACTGCAGGGGCTAACTCTGGTGTAAGTTATGTCAGCTAGAGAACTTTCTGCTACATCACATGATGCCGAGTGATAAATGTGCCATTTCTATCTTCTTTGCTGTACTTAATTAAAATACCTAAGGGTAAAGAATAAGTCAAAATGGTGTAACACACTGTTTCAAGGTGTGATTTTCAAGTTAAAGTTAATGAGTTCAAATTGTGCTTCACCAATTACTGTCCGCATGACCTACTATAAGATATTTGAATAATTTTGCCTTAGTTTTCTAACCTCAGAGCAGTGCATAATTTATTATAGACTATGAGGATTAAGAATGGTAGCCCAAACCAGTAACATACGTAGCAGTGACTTGTACATAGTTATAATTATTATTTTAATATTTTGAAATTATTTACACATTACCATAAACGTGTCCCTAAGCAGAAATTACTCCCAAATCCAGCTCATTTTAATTCTCTTGTCAAAAAATAAAACATCAGAAAACTTGTCAAGTGCATAATTTATTATAGACTATGAGGATTAAGAATGGTAGCCCAAACCAGTAACATACGTAGCAGTGACTTGTACATACTTATAATTATTATTTTAATATTTTGAAATTATTTACACATTACCATAAACGTGTCCCTAAGCAGAAATTACTCCCAAATCCAGCTCATTTTAATTCTCTTGTCAAAAAATAAAACATCAGAAAACTTGTCAAATGCCTCACTGAAATTCAGATCTGTCTACAGCCTCACTAATATCTCTTGATCTATTAAGCTACTAACACTTATAAAGAAAAATTGAATTAGTCTGACACGACTTAGTCTTTGTGAACTCTTATTGAAGATGAGTGGTATCGGTTCCGTCTTTCAGGTACTCACTAATAAGTTTGTTTCTAATTGGTTCAAGAATTTCATCTGAAATCAATATTAATCTCATTTGGCTAATGTTTGACCGGGTTCCCTCTATTCAATATATTGTTACATTCCAGAAACTGAACCTAGTGCTTCTTGTAAAATAAAGCACTGTGAATGTTTACAAGAAGCTGACAGCCTAGCAAATTTCATTCTTATTTGCTTTGCCTCCTACTACTTTTCATGATTTCTGGACACAAATAATGTTTCCAGAACTTATAGTTTCTAGGCTTAGTACCTTCCTGGAGCTTTGACTGGAGGAATACCACTGTACCTTGGTATTCATGAGGATATAATTCCAATAAGTCACATATATACCAAAGTCTGCAGATACTCAAGTCCCTCACATAAAATGCTGTAGTATTTGCAGATAATCTATGCACATGTAATTTAAATCATCTTTAAAATACTCATAATACTTAACTCATGATATATAACATATGAATAATTGATACACTTTAACTTTTAGAGAATAACAGTTAGAAAAAATACTGTATGTGTTCATTATTGATTCAGTTTACTTTCAAATGTTTTTGATCCATGATTAATTGAATTATTAGAAGAAGAATCAGTAGGTATATGAGGCTAGTCACTACTTCATTATTGCTTGCTGTCTCCAAATATCTACTGTATTGAAGAAAAATGAGCTATGGTGTCTTAAATAGCAGTATATTTCTTAGGAAAATAGTAGAAGTATATTTAAAATTAGTAGGGTTGGCATAAGAGATTGTACATGTCAATTTTTTACTTGGGTCAGCCTTTCTGTAGAAAGAAATGATTGATCTTATTTGTGCTTCCTATAATAATAGTACTGTCAATTTTCAACTATCACTAATTGCTAACTTCTCAAAGGAAATAAAAAAGAAAGAAAAACAAAGAAAATGTCATTTACCTTAAATCAAATACCTTGAATTTTTCAAGAGTTGGAAGGTTCATGCAACCGGGTGAGATAAAACCCTGACTTGAGTGAATGTGGGAAGAAAAACATGAAAAAAAACTCACTAAAACAAAACAAAACAGAACAAAACAAAACAAAAGCACACACACACACACACACACACACACACACATATACACACACATACAGAGCACAGAAAGGTTTCCCTATTCTCCTAACCTGGACTGCATTCCTCCTACCTTAACATAACCCCTGTTTCTACAATTTCTCAGTGGTGAAGAAAAGTGTATTTTAAAGAAATCAGAAAATGAGGAAATCAAAGGAAGTTGGATGTTGACCATCTCAACAGCCCTTGAAGTCTGCTTGTCTACTACTAAACCGGCAATTCACTCAGATGCCAGGGAAACCTTAATATGTGTAAGGAAAGCTTGAAAACTTAGACTATGTCACTTCTCAGGCATTTGACATGCTATGTAAAGTAATTAAAAATAAGACATTTGATGAATATCATTCACACTGCAAATTATCAAGATATTTAGTTTATACTGTGTTTAAGAGAGTACATTGTTCAGTGTGGTCATCTGCACATCAAAAAATAATTGTTTTAGATCCCTTAGATGGATTTCAAAACTGTGTTGTTGTTTTTTGTTTTTATTCCCTTACCGGGAATCAAACTCACGACGTCGCGCTTGCCAGGCAGGCGCTGTGCCGCTGAGCTAAACCCGAGCCCCTGCGTTGTTGTTTTAACTTGTTTGTCAAACAAGTGAAGCCCACGCCCTCTTGGGAGTTAAAGTGTAACAGGTGCTTATAGTCGAAATGTTTTGTCAGGGTGCGTTTTTCATAGGAAGGGCAAACGCCTGTGATTGCAGATATGAGTAGTGGTCTTCTGGTAGGATTTCACATAGCATATTTACTGCCCCTCAGTAATGCTCATTTGATATTAGTCATAATTAGGTGGTAGCACATACAATAAGTACAAATATATATATATATATATATATATATATAATTTAAAGAAAATTACATCTTATTTCAAATGTATAATGCCTTGCTTTTAAAAATCTAATATCTTTCCCTTAAATATAGCAAGAGATTATTTTAAAACTAGGTTTAAAATTCCACTGGTCAGAAAACATATTTATCATTAGTATAGGTCGATGAGTCATTGAAAAGATGAGTAAGTATATTAAAGATATTCTTGAATAATCGTAATATTTCTACATCAAATGATTTCTGTGTTGTTTGTCTCTTCTGCAGGTGATTTCAGTAATTTTCTCAAGATTTTGCTGGGAGTTAATGACAGAGTTAAAAATGCAATTTACATCTCCTAACCTGGTCTGTATTCCTCCTACCTTAACATAATGCCTGCTTGCATTATCCCTCCGTGGTAAGGAAAGGCGTATTTTAAAGAAATCAGAAATTGAGGAAATCAGAGGAAGTTAGCTGTTGACAATCTCAACGGTTCTTGAAGTCTGCTTATCTACCATTAAACAGGCAATTCACTCAGAAGCTGGGGAAACCTTAATATACTCATCAAAGCCCTCTTTACAATTATAGAGGTATTAAAGAAAGTGTCGAACAGGGAGAGGTGAATCTTAAGTAGTTTAAAGATTACACTTAGATGATGAAGATAAGGAGAATAATACTTAATGCTGCTGCATAGCCAGTATTCCCGGAGGCTCAGAGTATTTAGCTAACTAAAGGTCAAATGATGTACATCTTTGATATCTTCAAAACTGGGTGGCAAACTTCTACTTTAATAACATTTTGTGGTTTTCCTTTTTAGTTTACTGCAGAAGAAATAGACCCAATATCAATCTGAGAGCATTATAGTACAAAGTCTCTTACAAAAGCAATGGGGGTATTTTTAAATTCTAGAAAAAGGAAATGTCTCAAGTTTTAGTAGTTGCTGAGTATGATTACAACTATGCAAATGTAATGCTGTTGCAGAACAAAATAGAAGATATATACAGTCAATAAAAATCATAAAAATATAATAGAATAAACAGTTATTTGCAAGTTAATATTAAAGATATCATGAGAAAAAATATTAAATATAGATGCTTATAATATAAAATAAAATAGAAGAACCAAGGCATTGTTTTAAATTTTACCAGTGAAATTTGTCTCTATCTTTATAATATACAATAGGATAATCTAGAATGTTTGGTAAGATTTTTAAAATGAAGTAAACCTAAAAAAATTAACATGAAATGTTTATAAATCAGCAATACACTTACCCCAGCTATCCTTGCATATACATATATATTTTATCTTTTTTTAATTTTAAAGAGAAAAGAATAAAAGTAAAATAACAAAAACAAAGACATAAATAAAACAACATAAAAATGATTCAGAATTTTGAAACAAGGTGATAGGAAATTAACAATGGTTATTATATTACATATTGCTATCTTCAAAGTGATTACCTAATTTACCAGACATAGGCACGTAAGACTGAACAAACAATTACATATTAACTGTTCTTTTCCATAAAGCAATATTGGTCTATCAAAAGGAAGAGTTAATGCTTAAATTTTTTTTCTTGACCAATTTCTCATGCTTATATATGGTAATCAGAACAACTAACTTGAAGACAACAATATGCCATATAGCAACCACTGTTGAATTCCTACCATCTTGTTTAATAAAGCTCTGCATCATTTCTGGTTTTTTTTTACTTATTATAGTCTTTAATTGTTTGATCAATCTTGCATTCTTACATCTGGTAATCTGAGCAGCTTTGTTGAGGATAACAATATGCAATCTAACAACCACTGTTAATTTCTATCATCTTGATTTGAATTCTGTATAATTTTTATTGTTTTCGGTTATTTTTTTTTCCATCTTCATTGTTATTATTTTATTGTTTTTTTTCCTCTTTAAGATAAAAATGTGGTCCAGGGATTTAGCTCAGTGGTATAAGTGCTTGCTTGGCAAGCCTGAGGTCATGAGTATGAGTACCGGTACAAAAATAAATAAATAAATAAATAAATAAATAAATAATTTATACAATCAAAATAATAAGGCTAAATACATTCATCAAATGTAAATGACATTTCCTTATGCATAATTGTGGACATTTTTATTTCATAGCATGATGAACTGCATTGAACATCGCTGATGAGACTATTATAATCTGATAAATTTAGAAGTATATGGCAAAGTTTTATGATTCCTGTCAATTGTAAGGTTGAAACAATGGTGCGGAATTATCAGAAAAATTGTTTCAATCTTGTAAACTTTGGTAGGGTACAAAGGTTAAAATTTAGGTTTTGGGACAGGTTAAGATTTTATTCATCACTCTTCAGAGAATAACTAAGATAAAATGAAACTATGTCTTTAAAGATATAAAGTACAAATCAGTCAAAACTTACATTGGCAGTGTTCTGATCTTTATTTTAAAAATGCACCTTATTTGATATATTCAGTAATTAATATTTTCTTAATATAATTAAAATATTTAAAATGTCAACCATGTCAGAAAATTGGCCTAGTTGATTAAAATATGCTATAAATTAACTAACATTTGGCCTTTACCCATCTGTTATTTTAGCATTGTAAAACATAAATGACTTTTTCTTAATTGGCAGTTTTTCTTCATTATAAACCACCATCAAAATTGCATATATAAAGAAACCCAAAATGCTATTACAACAAAAAGTTCACATTGGAGAAACTACACAGTGAAATTTTAAGACAAAGGGCAGAAACTGAGAAGACAGATTTGACTTTAAATTAGTATTTTGATAGATGCACCCAGTGACATCACTAAGTAACAATGGGAAAAACAATAATCAAAGAAATATCTAGGTATTTTTATGTTTTTAAAGAAAAAAAGACCCTAGACTTTTATACAACATTATGGACTACTTGAAGGAAAACATTCAAATTCACCTTATTTAATATCTTAGATTTGCTTTATAACAAGACAGGAAAATGCTTTATGAACCCTAGACAATCTGTTCTCAGAATTAAAACAAAGTCAGCTATTAAATTATCCCTTTCCTTTCACTAGCTTAGCAGAATAAATTGCCTTTTCAGCTCAGTCTTATCAGCACTTTTTCTCTTTCCAGAAATGAGAAAAGAATATGGAAGAGATCAAAAGTAACAGTCTCTTCAGGCTATCGGCCCAAAATAAAGCCCCAGGAGACCCTCCCTGCACAGGTAAGCACATGCAGGTTACATAAGACATGATAAAGAGGAAGAGATGGTAGAAACCAGGGAGAAGTCTAGCTCATTCTATGACTCACTTGCTTCAGGCTGTATCATTTTAGAATGTAGAAAACCAAGTGATGAAGGAAGACAGTAATATCACTTTAATACAGGAGAATTATAGGGAAAAGCTATTATAAGGCTGAAGTTCTTTACATCTACTCACCTACTACTTTGAAATTTTAAATTACACACACACACACGCTTAGTTCTATATCTGTATGAGGTATGATCTAAATATGTAGGGAATGTTTAAATTAAAAATATTTATTATATTAAAAGGCACATAGTCATGAATCCCCTTCCAGATATTCACTCTCTGCAACTTATTCTTGTCACTTTTTGAAGCAGTTCTTTGTGAGTGTCTCCATGAAGTGTGATAAAATGCAATGTGAATGCTGCAGTCCAGAACCAGCTGAAGAAAAGACAGGGTCATAAAAATAATGTGCTGCTTATTGAAATTTTTCACTGGATCTAGCATTGCACACCATTCAACTCTTCCTTAAAGTCTTAATGACAATAAAAAGTAAATATTTTGAAAGAATTCAGGACATTGAGGCATGCACAACAGCACAACTACAGACACACAGGAAAAATGACTTCCAGAATTGCTTCAGAAAATCATAAAAAGGACAGGATCAGTCTGTACGAATTAAGGAGTATTTTGAGCTGGCTGAATGGTAATTGTTTTATACTATAACAATTTGTGAAATTTAATATTCATCAGAAGCTTCATAGTTTTCAATCACATTTCAATGATCTCATCATGTATGGAGTATTTCAAGTTATTTTTAATATAAAACATAGATATACAAAAAACAAAATAAAATCATAATAGATCAATAGATGAAACTTTTGTCAGAGCATTCCTTCTAGGAAAATAAAGACAGCAAACCAGAACAACATTTTCCTTATGTGTAGAAAAACAAAAATAAAAGTGATAAAAAAACAGATATGTCTGATGACCAGTTTTTAAATGGAAACAGAAAATTAACATATCAATTACATGACACTAGAACAGGCCCTTATGAATCATAAGTAAAATTTAGAGCAAATAAGCTAATTTCAAAAATTAGGTGAAATGATGTATTTATAAAAGAGACATTGAAAGGACCAATAGTGAAAACAAAACAATGGAATTATATTAGTTTAGAGACAGTAAAAAATAAATACAATGTTTCAGGATAATAGTATGGGAAAGAAACTTGTTTTAGAACAAGTAGAAGTAAATTTGGTTAATGAGAGAATAGATGGGTAAATTTTACAAAAAGAAAAATGTAAGAAAAATTGACCTATCTGCAGGAATAATGAAAAATTATGAAAAGATGTAAAAAGTTAATGCCTCTTAAAGTATAAATATTCCTCATACATAGGAAAGGTAAAACATAATAATTTAAATATCTTATCATTTTTCAAAGTAATGTTTCTAATATGTAAACATACTATTGCAATATTTTTATACTATACATGGAAATCAGTAAGTATACAGGGAGAAAATAACTACTCACAGAGAAACAAAATGTATCTCTACCAAATGTTCACATTAAAAAATTTAAATTGTAGAAAGAAATGAAACGATCTCTACTTAATTTTTAGGGCACAAATACTACTATTGGTTTAAATTCTTTGTGATTATCCTGTGTTCAAAATTCCTAGGCTTTATGAACCTAGAAGTGCTGCAATCATTTTTCTCCTCTATGGTTACAGCCAGGGTAGAACTTCAAGAATAATGCTATAAAACTATTATCTTTAAGTACTGGGAAAGATCAATGGATCACTTAATGAACTGTTTATCAAGAAAATGGAAAATAGCTTTCTACTTAAAATATTTACAGAATAAAGACTTATTTACTGATTTACAAATATGCATATAGTGTAACATTTGTGGTTCTTTAAAACATACTGTAGGTCTATACATTTGGCTATATCCTTTTATTAAAAACAATGCTGTGTGCGTTAATTGGACCTTGCCCTTTGTGAAAGGAGTTCACACGGTTATAGCAGTGTACACATCTTTTTGCTTCCTTTCTTCATTTACTCCTTTCCTTTTCTCTTACCCTAATTTAGGCATTCATACAAAATAAGAAAGATTAAACACTTCATAACTGCAACTTTACACTTGTGACATCCATACTTAACTTATGTGCTACATGATTACTGTAATCCCTGCAGCTATCATCATGACCTTGATCAATATTTACATTTATCAGGGCCTTCATAACACACAGGTGACAATAAGATATATTATTTTACCTCATGTCAATAATAGCACATGTGGTATCGAGAAGGCATGTTGTATTTTTAGGCATTGTTATTTGGAGTACAAGCTGGGTTACTAATGATGATTTGGATTCTAAGTTTATATTCACACATTTATTCCTGCTTCCAAAGTTGGCAGGGTGACTGAATCTTGTATTCAAGGATTATGCAATAAGATTTTGTCTCAGTTATTTTTAATATAAAACATTTCAATGTTTAAAACCTCCAAAGTAGAATCCGTTTAATACAAAGTATCACCCGTTATTTATCTTGTTTTCATTTCCTTACCTCTCAGTATAATTTTACTTTGTCCTTTTTCTTGGCCCCTCTCTCCTGGTTAAGTTACCTCTACTTTCTCAGAGGAAAATCACACAAAAAATAAACTTTGCAAATAATCAAATATTTTATAGACTAAACCAGTGTGTAAATGAATAAGGCATATAAAGGAATGAAGGAAAATAGTAAACTGTGATTCCTTTGACATGTTAGGTACAAAATGTCGGTTCCTCACTAATGTAGACCCTAATATATAATAGCTGCAACTGTGGAGGTACAACCTGCTTAGTCACGATATCCTGCTTATCCTGTTAACTTTCTTTCAGTAATTGAATGTAGTGTTCTCAATGCCTTTAAATTCAAGCTCCAACATTAGAATCCATTTGCATTCTACCTTCTTTTCTTTCTTTCCGTCCCTACAGTTTCATTACTATCTAAAGCTCTAGCCATACTAAATTATTTAGAGTTTTGAAATGTGTGTTTTTCTTAGCTGCATCTGTTCCCTGACATATTTATATCTCTTGAGTCCCTGTGATCTTCCAGTTCAGGTATCTTTCAATCTTATTGGAGACAAACTTCATAAAATTGGCTATTACTTCAGCTACTTGCCTCTTTTTTTATGTTCTATCCAATTGAGTATGTTAGGAACAGTTATCCCTAACTGTGTTTCCAGTGCATGGGTGATATTTGGTATCTGCCATACATGCTTATAATGCCTGAAAAATTGGAATATTTATTATACAGTGGAAACATGGGGGAAGTTACAGTGCTATTAAAAAACAGGTTTCACCTATGTGCAGAGGTATATACCTGCAATCTCAGCACTCTGGGAGGCTGAAGTAGGAGGATTGTAAGTTAAACACCAGGCTATGTACTTTAGTGAGTTAGTGAGACCCGATATCAAAAGAAAAAATAATAGAAAAGAACTAGTAAATGCTGCTCAGTGCAAAGGCCTTGGGTTCAATACCCAGTACTAAAAGAAAAAAGGATAAAGAAGGAAAGAAAGAAAAAAGGAAAGAAGGAAGGAAGAAAAGAAAGAAAGAAAGAAAGAAAGAAAGAAAGAAAGAAAGAAAGAAAGAAAGAAAAAGAAAGAAAGAAAAAAGAAAAAGAAAGAAAGAGAAAAAGAAAGGCAAAAAGGAGTTTTAGCATACCAGTAGAGAACATACTTGGGTTAACAAACTTTTAGACAGACTTCAAAGTGACTTAACATCAAAAGTGCAGTCTTCTGAGAAAAAAATAGAAGAATGCATTCTCAAATAAAGATTATTAAAATAATTGAAATAACAAAAATCAACAAAGATTTTAGTATTGATTTAAAGTATATGTTCCTTGAATACTACATTATATATCTTCTTACTTCAAAAATAATTCAAATTCTAAGAGGTCACAAATTTTTCTTGTATTTGCATAAGTGAGCCTTACTTCTAATGATATTAATTTAAACATTGTCAGTGAAAATCAAAGGTTTAAAAGTAACATCAATATTCATATGCAAATATTTAGTATGGACTCTGTATGCTTCCGGTTTTCAGATAAGAAGAAAGGAGTTTAGAAATCTTAATAAGAGAGGATACACTGTTTGTGAAGAGAAAAATAAGCCAATATGTTTGATTATGTTGTGTAACCATGCAATATGATGGACCATGTCAAATATATCTATATTCTTCCATTTAATAAGTCTTAACCAGACCTGTATTGTCTCTATTTTGAGAGACAGTATTAGATTATCTCTCTCAAACATAAGACTAATTTATAGTAAGATTGGAAACTATGACCTGATCTCAAGTTCAGCAGACTTTTGAAATATACCATACTTTCCAAGAAATTTATTTTAATTTTCTATAAAGACAATAAATTGAATTCATATACTTGATTATTTTTCTTGTCAAATTTCTATGGAAACCAATAGTAAAACATGACATTAAAAAAGTAGAATCACCATGAAAAATCTATCATTAAATATGAATTTGAGAAATTTTCTCAAGAAACAATATAAATGAGTCAAAAGATGGAGGAAGTCATGACTATAAAATAACAACCAAAGAAAACTTCCTATTTTTTCTTTTTTGAGATGCGATATCAGGATGCTACCCAGGTTGACTTTGAACTCTTAGGGTCAAGTGATCCTTCTGCATAGTTGGGCTGCAGGGGCAGGCCATTGTATCCAGCTGCAGAGTGAAAATTCATTGACAAATCAGTATGTTCTAAATGAATACATATAATAATCAAGAGATTTTCAAAATATGTAACTTTTAGACACAGTGTGTTTGTCTAGGACTGGAATTAATATATGGATCAACCCATTAAAGCCTGGTAAGTGGATAAATGCACCATTTTTCCAACATCCATTTAATAGGAAATCAGGGATGGAGGTGCACATCTATTTCTTAATATTAAAATATCAGTGTTATTATGGAAACTACTGATAGTGTCCAATTGATATTATATATATGATTTGAGAGTTTGAGAATCTGAAGAGAAGAAAAATATGAATGCATAAAAGAGATAGAAGACAATAAATATTTTGTGGAAGAACATTCTGAGTTTTTCCTTCTAGTGCTTAATTCTATCCCTTTTTCCACTATTCAGACACATGACAGGAAACTTTACTCTGTTACTGGCAATAATAGAAGACCATGTGACTAAATCTGTATAATGGGTTATGGTCAAAGCATTAATTGATGATGTGGGTGGGAGCCTATGGTGCTAGACAGTTTCTTTTATTCATAGTAAAACCTGAAAACTCATGATGAGATTGTGATGTTTTACGATGTTGGCGCTTCTGTCAACCCAGAATCCCTTAGGGACTGAAAGGAGAAAACACTGAACAGTATTGAACATTATTGAATCTAAATATGAAAAAGAAAACTTTTATGAAAAAGAAATCCAATATGAAAAATCTATCATTAAATATGAAACTGAGAAATTTTCTCAAGGAACAATGTAAATGAGTCAAAAGATGGAGGAAGTCATGACTTTAAAATAACCAAAGAAAACTTCCTATTTTTTCTTTTTTGAGATGTGATATCAGGATGCTACCCACGTTGACTTTGAACTCTTAAGGTCAAAGTCATGTCTTTTTTTTTCACTCTGTCATGTCCCATACTAGTCACATGGTGTGTATGTGTTTTGCAAATGTATATAGCACTTGTGTGTGTATGAATTTATGCATGTACATATAAAGGCCAGAAATATTTTTAACCTCTAGATTATACACAATGTGTTATCTTAGTATTTTTCTTGGCTTTTGTTTTATGTGTTTTTAGATGGTGCATTTTCCAACTTAGATGGTATACATATGTAGATGTGGAAAAACAATCAAATATGTAGTTAATATGAAGTGGCTAGTTTTGTAAAAAAAAAATATGGAGTGAAATAGCTTTTAGTATTGCTACTTCTCTTATATTGCAAACTGTATTTAAAGTCACCTTTTCAACTATAAATATCTTTTTCATTTTCAAATAAAAATTGGAACCTATGTACTTTCAAAGATAGTAAGAATGCATGCATTTGTGAAAGGTGCTTTTATACATTATATAATTTAATTTGAGAGCTACAAAAATTTTAGAAATAAACAATAGCAAAAAAGGAAAGGCTAATAAATAGCAACTTTTTGGTGTTTGACAAGATTTTGCAGTAACACAAGCAGATACAAAGCTTAAAGACAGTCTTATATATGTTTTCAGATCCTAACTACACGGAATTTATCTTCTGAGTGGGCAGGAGAGTGTACATTAATGGATACCACTGAGACACTTTTCCTGCCCTACTTGTAACAAGACTCAAGTGTGACCTGAATGGCTCCCTGGTGTTTGGATTTATATTCTTCTCAGAGGCATTAGGTATTGTATTTCACTACAAAGTGCTAAAATCATTGCAATCATTGTTTATAAATCTTTTAGAAAAACGCATTTTCTTAGCAGCAGCTATGGCAACAGGGGAAATGACACTGAGAAAGAATTCAGTCAGTAGCAGTGGGTAACATACACAGGATTTAGAGTCTATCAACACATATATTTACAACTGAAAAATTGCAATAAATAGTTCATATCTGATGATTTTCCCCATTTAACCCAAGTGTTGCCTCTAATTAAGGTTTAAATATTTTATTATGTAGGATATTTACATAATCAGAATGAAAATTGATGACGGTAGAATGACTCCAGTTGAATTAAAACATTTTATTTCTCTGTGTATGACTTTCCCTTTGGTGTGACACATGTACCCCTAACAATTTTAAGGGGAAGAGGTTAAATTTAGTTCACAATCACAGAGGATTCACCCCGTGGTTAGCTGAATCCAAGAAACATGATGAGAGAGGGGTGGTTGCAGTTGAACTACTCAGATCCTGGCGGCTGGGAAGCAGAGCAGGGAAACGGTGTCAGAGAGAAACAGGCAAGGGACTAGACCCAAGGCCGCGCCTCCCTGATCCACGCAGAGACACCCAGAACATCCTTTGCTAATCTGCTGAGAGATTTAATCCAAAGAGGTTGACCTATCAGGACAGTGGTCACAACCTACACTTTGTCATTTTCACAGCCAAACACATCCCCTTGAACCATATTTCATCTCCAAGTAAAGACAATATAGCAAGTTCATCCTTCCTCCTGGCATGATGCTCCTATGCTACTTACAAAGGGAAATGCAACAATCACAAATTTGTCTGCTTTACTTTTCCCCTGTTATCTTACTACACATCTGGCTAAAAGCAGGCACCAATACTCCTGGCACAGGCTGAATGTTAGGGTGTCTTTAGATTTCTTCTGTCAGCTTACTTTGTCAACTGCCTTTAATCTCTCTCTCCTTCAAAGTTTCAGGACTTGGACAAAATATAGACAGATTTTGTGCCAGAGTGTAACATCCATGGTTTCTAGTCCTGCAGTACTATATATGGATTCTTGCCCTTTCCGGTTCTGCTTTGTGTCCAGGCTATTGCTAACTGAGCAGTTTAACTCCATCACACATTTCCACCCTGATGTTTCTCCTTTGGACCTAGCCAACCATAGAATGAATCCTCTGTGACAGTGAGCGAAATGAACCTCTTTTCTTTCAAGTTGGTATGTGTCCAGTATTGTATAATAAAATAGGAAGCTAATATAGGAAATTTGGTACCAGAGAATTGCGGTGGTTGTTGTCGCTGTACCTGTCATAACGGTTTAGAAATCTTCGGAAGTAGTTTGCAGGAGGAGTTTGGAAAGGTTGGGAAGTGCGTGTCAGAGAAGATCCAGAATGCTGTAATCAGTGTCACTGGAGAATCTAGTTCGAGATCAGAAACCCATGGTGCTGACAGGAATGCAAGCAGTTAGGGCAGGCTCAGGATGTCTCCATTACGAGTAAGGATTCCTTTGGCACCCAGACACTCCCATGAGTAAACTTTAGGAATCTCTCAGGCATTTCCTAACCCGATCAAGCTGACATGTCAGGATAATGGTCATGGTAGGACATAGCCAGATTACATACTTGAGAATGCCAGCATTTTAGTCATACTGTTTGTGTTACTGTTGTTTGTTACTAATTTAATGAACTTCCTGGAAAGGAAAACATGGTCATCCGTTTTTATGTATGTAATTTAAAACAAGCGTTTGGTTTTTTTTACGTATTACATTAAAACTATATTTCCAGTTTTTTCATTTGACTTTAGATACAGGAGTACTTTTCTTAGCAATTGTTTTACCTCATGTTAAGAGCCTCTTTTTAGTCAGAAAAAATTGTTCTACTCATAATTTTTCTTCCTAAGATATTTTAACAATTGAAATGCTTCCCTAGTTAAAGAGATATTTGGGGGTCAGCTCCTTTTGGCCCACACTGGAATGGGCAGGCAGGTTCGTCCTTCAAGAATAATATTGACACATGGACTGGGCATGCACCCATGTGGTCCAGCACTTCTCCAGTAGGTAAAAAGCCCTAAATTTGATATAGAGCATCAGCCCAGACCAACATGTTCTCTGTTGTTAAGAAAATAAAATTATATAGCATTACTTTAATTTATATTTCTAAAATACATTGGTATTAAATGATATTTATGTAACTAATTTCTGGTGTTGGAGGGGTAAAAGGCTCATTTTTTCCTATCAATCTTATTATAACATTTTTACATTATTAGTAATGAAATATGTGATAACATATTTGTGTGTGTGTGTGTTTGTGGTACGGGATATGTGTTTGTTTTTTTTTTTGTTTTTTTTTTTTGTTTTTCTCTGGTACCGGGAACCGAACTCACGACCTTGCGCTTGCCAGGCAGGCGCTTTTTGCCACTGAGCTAAATCCCCAGCCCCGGGATATGTGTTTGTGATACTGGACATTAAACCTGAGGCTCACGCATGGTAAGCAAGTCTTCTGTCACTGAGCCATATCCCTAATTCTTTTTTATTTTTTTTTTTTTTGAGAAAGGTTCTTGCTACATTGCATAGACTGGTCTCAAATTTCTGATCCTCTTGTCTCAGACTCTCAAACAGCCATCACCCCCATGTCAGCAATTTTCTTTGTGATATGTATTTTACTTTTGAAATTACAGTAATAAAATTTTAAAATAAGACATTTTCTCCACAATATTTTCTTCATTTTTCGGCATGGATAGTTTATATAAGAACGCATTTATTTTAGACAAGTGAAGTATTTCAGATTGGGTTTTGTTCCTTGCCACCACATCAGCCTCCTGTATAAGTTTCGTTTTAAGCACTTTCTTTGCCATAAGCTGGGCATCCCTCACTCGCACTTTTTCTTAATTATCCGTGCCCTAGGTATTGCTTTTCTCATATGGGTATAGAAAGATGCCCAACATTGTGTTGGGAATAAATTCTCTGCCTCAGTGTGGAACATGAGTTTGATGAAGGGGTGTTTTCCACATCCCTAGCTCTGAGTTGGGGTGTATAATGACAAAGGCTGAGCACACATGCCCTCATTCTCTTTCTGTTTACTGAGGTAAGGCCTGTGCCAAGGACCAGAGAGAGAATTCCCTGTGCCTAAATTTCATCTCAGCTCCATGAAGTAGTCAAAGTCTAGTATTTGAGATTTAGGAAACCTGCTTTTTTTTTTGAGGGGGTGTCTTTTCATCGACAACAAAGTTTTCTTCCTGCATTTTCCACAGCAGAAGGAGGCTTGTAGAAGCTCCTTCTCTGATTTATGTTATTGAAAGGAAATTGCTCCCCTTTATGAGTTCTATATCATAATACAAAGAACGGATTCTTTGACCAAGGTAGGTCTACAGAAGGTTAAAATTTAAAGTGATGTCATTTATTTCACTTACAGAGATCTGGTCACCCCGTTTCATTGCACACCGGTGATGCTCCTGAACTTATATTTGGATATTATCTGAAATGTGAGCAGTAGGGGAAAGAAAAAAAAAAAACTACAAAGAGCTTTGAGAAGGATGATTGTTAAAGATGTTTCTCATATGCAATCTATTTCTCATTTAGTTCTTTTCTACACCATGAAGCAAAAGGATGAACTAAATCTGGGTATTTTTGAGAGTGATCCATTTTGTACCTTGAGGTTCTTCTTCGAACAAGATTGGCTGTACACTTCCTAGAAGCAAATTCATTCTGTATTTGAAAAGATTTTTAGATTTGTACTTTATTAAAGTGAAGACAAAAACTTAAAAATAAATTAACAGTAATGTAATGAGAGAAGTTTCCCTCTTTGATAGCGCTTCTATACAACATGACTGATTCAGATCCCAAAGGACACACACTGTTGGCTTTTCATGGTTACAGTGCTACTTTAGGACTGACTACGGGATAAGATTGTATTATGCCCATCTAAAATAGGTTTTTTAAAAATCTTGCATCTTTTACAAAATCTTTTGGAATTTCTTAAATTTCCAGTTATACATGATACACTGAAGAATTAAGTATGATAGAAGAGCATACTATCTGTAAGAAACTCTCAAAATACAGACTAAATTCTATCTGAAAAAGAGACTAAATTCATTAATGCATCAAAAGACAAGTGAAATTATCAGTTATAGGAAGCATTATCACTTACTGTTGTGTGAAGAAGTCTTGTTAAATGAAGAATTTAAGATAGGGGCTGGGGATTTAGCTCAGCGGCAAAAGCGCCTGCCTGGCAAGCTCAAGGTCATGAGTTCAGTTCCCAGTACCGGAGAAAAACAAAAAAAAAAAAAAAAAGAATTTAAGATAAACAAGGGTATCCTAATCATTTTCTTATGATAACCACTAAAGGAACTTTTAAAATCAATGCGCAGTCTTCATTCCAGATTTACTCAATCATTACCTCCCTCTTAAACTATCAAATCCAAGAACAAATATTGGCTGAAAGGTTTAGAAAAAAATTTTGCTGGGTGTGGTGGCTTATGCCTGTAATCCCAACACTCAGGAGGCTGAGGCAGGAGGATCATTGAGAGTTTGAGATCAGCCTGGGCTACAAAGTGAGCTCAAGGCCAGCCTGAACTGCAGAGCGAGACCCTGTCTCAAAACGACAAATAAATAAATAAATAATAAATAACCTGAGAAACAACTTTTATGTACCATAAGAGTTCAAAAACAGTATGATAACTGATCAACAGATGTCACAATCTAACAAAGTAGTTCACCAGTTCTCTTCAGTTTAACCTCATGAAATTTCCAGTGGACTCATTAATATTACAATCATCATAAAATGATCTTCCTTTTCCATCAAACAGGAGAAATAACTCAAGTAAGATAATGCCATTTTGGCTTTATTTCCTGATACAGAAGTGAGTTTTGGAGGCACATTAAGTTAGCATTGTGCCTTGCCACTCACTGTAGTGCTATTTTATTAATAATAAATGTTTACTCTGATTAAGGTTTATTAGAATCCCCAAATATAATTTCTATAATGAAGAAGAGATGATACACGTACTTGTTCCTATAGAATATTATACATAACACTGTAGATAAGTAGTCAAAAATTGAATAAAGCTTTTCTAATTTTAATGAAACAGTGGAAAGATTCCAATATTGTTAACATATAAAATAAAATCATTAAGAGTTTTTTTTTACTGATACTAGACACGATCATGTGCAACAATGTGGACTGACTGGTAAGAAGGTAAAGAAACACGTAATGGTTCTCCCTTCTTGTCATGAGATAGATGTGTAGCTATCACCATCAGTCACTTAAAAAACAGTTTATTGAGATGTAATTCTCATTTTCTGTAATTCATCTAATTAAAATGTACAATCCACACATTTAAACCAACTGATCTTCCATAATTTGTTTTATTTACATTTTTATTACTAAATTATGAATGGTGAAGGAAAATTAATTCAACCTGAAAATAATTTATAGATTTCTGGGATAAATAATTGACTATTGGCAATTGACTCTCTGCTCTAAGAATTGAAAGGTTGATTCCCTTCTGTGGGGTGGAAAAATATTTCTTTCAAGAGTAGAGAAAAAAAATTGAAGCTTGTGTAAGTAAAACCACTGCATCATCCATGATGATGAGACTAGGAAATGCAGGCAAGAAATCTAAAGGAGTTTATTTAATGAAACTTATCGAAAGAAATATTGTTCAACTTTTCATTAAAACATGTTGACAGATACACAGAAACATAATGCATTATCACTGAGGCTAAGACAAGATGTAAGAACATAATGAGTTTTAGAAATTTATTTGAATACCATATATTCAAATAGAGTACATGAAAATGATGTTTTCTAGAAAATATCATATTATGTTATGTCTAATTTTCAAAAATGATTATTCACAGGTCATTTTCTTTAATCAGAACTGTTACCAAAGCTAGAAGTTTTTAACTAATTTTTTGTGCCACTAACGTTGAAAACAGAAATATTTTAAACTTTGTTCAGACTCCTAAAAGATGAAAATAAAATAATTAAAAAGTTAAGAGAATTTATAGTATTACAAATTACCATTGACCGAGTTCTTCAGACTATACGTGTAATTTTGTAAGAATTACTTAATGGGTGAGTGAACTCTCATTTATAATATAATTTATTATAAATAGTTCATAAGGTTGTAAAGAAGAACAGATTATAACAAGTGTGCACACTTTTGAAAGAATGTGTAACACATAGGAAACCCTCAATAAATGATAGATACAGCTGATGTAAATCAGATGTATATGCACTCATGTTATCACAAATTGATTAAGTATATCTTATTAGAAAAGGATCTGAGGCATATATTTAATATGCATAGATATGCTAATTTTCTTCTTATCCATTATCTTAATGCATTTGATTAGGATTGCAATTTGTATTATATATTGTTCTGTGCTTTTTTCTTTCATAATTAAAGATTACATCATATACATGAAGTTAAAGGAAGATGAAAATCATAGTAACATTATAGTTGCAGTAAAAGAAAAACAGATTTTACTCCAAATAGGTATTTTCATTTTTTTGTTTCCCATTTAAAACAGAATAATAAAGATGTAAGACATTTCTTTTATAGTTGTGTGAACTTTTCAGCTTTTCTTGGGTTAGCAACAAAAATATAAACGTATCATAGAAAAATATCCTTTATGTGTTTTCAATATACTTCAAAATAGATGCTTCATGAAATATTTAAGATTGCTTTTTTGTTCAAAAGTGTGTGATTAAGCAGGTTCATAAGAAAATGAGTAATTTTATACTTCCATATTTCATAAGCATTAAATGTTATGAATTTCAGATTCTGAGTTTATATAATCAAGTAACTAAATTGGAAAAATATAACATCATAATGAATTAAATTGCTAATATTAAGTAGACACAATTGACATAAAATATTATCAGAAAATGTATATATTCTTTATTCTTTATATATTCTTTATATATTTTAATATATTATTAATTAATAATATGTTATGTATTTTTCTTAATATATATTATCAGAAAATATATATATTCTATATTTATACTCTTCATAAATAAGAATGAGATTTTATGATGTTTTGCCCTGGAATGGAGAATGTCCTAGGAAGGTATTTTTTATGTCATTAAGTCACAGAGAATATAATAAGTAGTAATTACTACTAACAAAATGTAATATTACCCAAATTACCAGAGCCATTCTTTTTATTAACACAACTTGATAAAAAATAAGAAAGCTATTGCTAAAACTATCAAATTAATATCCCTCTGAGATTTAAACTATAATTGCAGTCACTTTTATTCTGCCACATGAGACATAAGAGGAATGCGGGAGGCAGCTGGCAATCCACTCATGTAATTATATTTCTCCCCATGTCTGAATTATTGGGTAGAATTTTTTCTAATAGGTCTTTAAATGAGTAATATCCTATTCTCTTCACAATAAACCTGGTTATTCTTGGGAAGCAGAGAGACTTTAACACAGCATATATTACACATACTATGTGTATGTGAGCTCCTCTCAAAATCTCCCTGTACATGGAAAAGTTAAGGGATAGAAAGAAATAAAGAAAAGTTAAGATATTGCCTAGCAACACTGCAAAATAGGAAAGTCATGGAAGACTCACCAGAAATGAGAAAAGGCAAAATCATTTAAAAACTATTTTAGACATAGTTTCTTAGTTTCTATGTCATCTAGGTAGAAAGAGAGAGCTAAGCAGAAATGAGATCATTTTCCATGCATCAGAGAAGCGATAGAGGAATAGAAAGAAATAAAGACATACTTTTCTAGTCAGCGCTGCAAACTTATATACGAGTAGTAAAATTTCCATCAAAGATATTCCAAAATGAGTTCCACATTTAAGATAATAAAATATACACCTAATACAAAAATAAGAAATTGAGACTCAGTACTATTCAGACTTGGTTCAGCACGGCACCATTTTTAACTCTTTTTTTAACATTTATTTTTAGAAATGATAAGTAAATCTAATTTTCATGTAAAACATAAGCAGCTTTGTTATATTACCTATATATTACATTTATTTTTAATCGCTGAATCTTAAAGTTCAGATAATTTTTTTTTGCAAATCGACCTGAAAAAGATTAATTGTGGGACTCACAAGTTTCTCTGAGGCAGTAGATATTAAAACAAAAACATCACAGGAACCTATCAACATTGTCATGTAAATAAATAAAGCAGGTGAACAAAGATTAAATAAAGCAAGTGTACATTAAATAAAGGAAGTGAAGCACACAATCTTCCTTTATGGGAAATTCAAGTATCTTCACCAAGTATTTGTACATACTTCCTCTGATTTATGATATCCCATCGAAGGTCTGTCAACACCAGGGGGGGTTTCTGTAGACAATAGAAGGCAGAGTATTCAATCTACTAATGTGAATTCTGCAGTGCTTTTGAGTGAAATATCTACACACATACACCACCCACTTCCTGAGAGGTGGAAAGTGTTCCCGGAAATTGCTACCAGAGCAGTATTAGACAAGGAGGGGCCAGGGCTATATTGTGTGATGATAATGTCAGGATAGTGCAATCTGCCCTAACATAGTACTCTGCCCTGCACGGGCAGGGAGGATTAGTGGAGGTAACAAGAGGGTAGGGCTATATTTTGGTGGTAGAGTGTGTGCGTAGCATGCACAAGGACCTGGGTTCAAGTTTGTTGAAGGAGAGACTGGAGAATTCAGGAGAGCTGAATGCCAATTTCCAGAAGGAGAAGTATAGACTTTAGGGGCAA